CCTATCCTTTCCTATCAAATTTATATATATGTAACGAAACAATTCTAAATTAAATTAATTATGATATTTTCTAATTTTGATAATACACTCATCATATTTATTATCTATTCATTTATTTTATTCTCTCTATTATTTATTTTCTATTTATTTCTTTAATATAATATATAATATGTTTATTTATGAATTATAATCTTTAATTTTATATCTTATTATAATTTATTATCTGATTCATTATTTAATTTATTCTTATTTATTATATTCTTATCATTATTTTATTTATTTTCATTCTTTATTTTCTTCTTATTTATTGTATTATTCTTATTTATATTTAATATTGATTATTATTATGTTATAATTTTATTATTTCATCTTGTTATTTCTATTCTTTTATTTTATTTGATATAAATCTGTTTATTATTTATTTTATTAAATTAAACATTAAACATTAATTTATTCTTTCTTCAATTAAACAATTATCATCATTAATCCAATAATAATCATAACTAGATTTATTGTCATTATTCTATTTCAACTACTTGGATATGCACAAATTCATTTATCACATTTATTTTTATTATATTCAAATTTATATCATTTCAAAATATGATAGTACACATTTTGTACTCAATTCTCCTTTATCTCCATATTCATATCATCAATATACATGTTTTATATTAATTTCTTTATCATATTTATTATCTATTTTAACTATTCTTTTATTATTTTGATTCCATTTTATTTGATATTTCTTTATTATCTTTTTTGTTTCTTCTTCATTTCTTCTATTATTTCATCTCTTATAACATATTGATATATATTCACTCTTTCATCTATTACATCTTTTTATAAATTCTCTATGTTTATTTTCATTATATTTATAATTATATTTAAATGTTTCTAAAATATTATAAATAAGTGAAAATTCTAATAGTTTGTAATCATATTGTTTTTCTGTAATTATACTTATCATTCTATTTGATGGTGATTGTCCTACTTCAATTTCTTCATCTTTACCATATGAATCACCATCATATCATACAATAATACCACTTCTCCATTCTTTTATTCATTTTGTTACAAATAAACAAGTAGAATAACAATATGAATATGTATAAATTATTATTTCTGTTGATTTTCTTTGATGTTTTAATGGTTGAATTTGTGGTTATGAAACATATTCTGATATTTGTGTAATTTTATGTTTAATATCACCATATTTAATAATATTTGTTTTGTATACATCTTCTCTGTCTTCTAATACAATATCTATAAAATAACCATACATTATCATCTTCAGTGCTTCTACAAATACATTCTTCTATTTCTATTCTTTCATCACCATAATTTCATCTTTTCTCACATGTTTTTAGATCAACAAAATATTCCATATATCATTTTTAATATTGAAAGTGTATTATCAGATTTGTTGATGAAATTAAATTTTCATCATAGTTTGGTGTTAATAATGAATCCATATTCATAATTCTTCATTTCTATCTTTATTTTCTGGAAGAATAACTTGAATTTGATATTCATTTGAATCAAATAATTCTATACATTTTTGAAGTAAGTATAATTCATTATTAATATCATATCATTTAATAACAAGAGTATTAATATTATTATTAGATATTTTACATTAAATATTATCATATTTATCACCTTATTCATTTCTCTTATTATTTATATTTGTATAATTTTCATTTGATGATAGAATGATTTTATCTTCTTGATTTATACAATGACAAATTGATAATTTTAATAAATTATAATGAACATCAACACTTTCATCATTTTCTAATATAATTGTTAAAAGTGTATTTAAATAATGATTTGATAAAAGTAATAAAAGTAAATTTTGTTGATAAAATGAATTAACAAGAATAGAAGAATTAGAAAATGGAAATTGAACAAGAAGAGATTTAAATGAACTATATTTGTTTCCAAATTCTCTAATAATTTCAAATTGATCATTTCCATTTATTGATTTAACATAAATATCTTTATTATTTTCTATTTGTGTTGGAACATCTTTACATTTTTATAATAATATTTAAAAATAAGATACATATGTTTTTATTTATCTAACATAATATTAAAACGAATGAAATAATAAAAATAAACAATATAATTTATATATGAACCATGAATTTGTTTTAATGAAAGAGATAATAAAGGATCTTTTTGTGAAATAAATAAATATTGAAATTGTGAATAAAATTCATATACATTCCACTATCCATATTTATTTTATTTGTACTTTTTCATAATAATATGAACTAATTAGTGGATTCTTCAATATATCATTGTATACATATGATTCTAAATTCATTTTCAAATCATTAATCACTGATTTTTATTATCTTCTGAATTTATTAATTCATCATTTCAAATACATTATCAACGGTGTCTACAACTGAGATATATTCATTGTAATCATTCCATTTCATTCCAAATGAGAGTGTAATTAATAGAAATATTAAATTAATCATTTAATAAATTAATTCTTTTAAAGTTCAATCTTAAATACTCATCAATACCATTCAACTTTTTACCCCTTATTTCTAATTAACAATATTTTTAATCAATACAAAAATAATAAAATAGAATTATTAATAAAATAATTATTTTTCATTGTAATTATATTTTTATTGTATTTCTTAAAATATTAAACAACAATATTTATCGTTATTTTAAATTAAATACTAAAAATAGAATAATTTAAATTATATTTATTGTTTTTATCATATTTTATTCTTTTTATCGAACAACAATAAAAATATTCCATTTCTCATTTTTTATTTTTCCATTCATTAGAATTACAACAAAAATAAAATGATAAAATAAAAAGAATGAAATATTATCACATACAAATTTAAATAAGAAGTTAATTAAGTATTAATAGAACTTGTGTCTATTGTTCCTGGCTCAGGGGAGACTAATCCCGTCCCTTCGTCTTCGTCTTGTAGTTCAACTACATATGTTTGGTTGTGATCGAAACAGTGCTCCATGACGTCCATCATGTTTTTAATTACAACGTTTTTAATTTCTTTAGTGATGTCAATTTCGATTTTTAATTGTTTAATTAATTTAACACTTTCGGCATTTATTAGCCCATTAATCGAAATTACTACTGGAATTATTTTGACATCTTTTAATTTCTCTATTTTCATTAGCCTATTTTTTAATTCCTTATACATATTTCTTTTCTTCCAATAGGCTCCATTAATATTATGATCTGCCACAATAGTCATATCAAATATTAGACCAGTTTTATTCTTTTTATCTAGTACATATATGTCTGGTCTTTTATGATATAGTCCATCACTCTTTGGCATTATTTGTTTGTTCCATATCATAGTGATGTCATTGTATTGGAACACTGTTTCATATGGGGGTTTCTTGTATTGATTATTTCCTGTGTATTTTCTTATTAACCCCTCCCATATGATAATGCCAATATTGTCATGTTTCTCCATCTGTGATTTTTTATGACCAATACAAGATAGTAGAATGTGTTCTACTGTGGCTATCTTGTCTTTACAAAGTGGGCAGTACTTTAATCTTTCATTTTTTAATATTTTCGCTTTCCTGTACCCACTAAATATTGCTCCATCTTGCATTTTAGTTAATTGGAGAAATGCATTTTTCTTTATATTGATGGACTTCCATGCATTGATTGTAGTAGTTTTATCTACCCCTTTTGACTCGAACCATCTTCTAAAATGTCCACTTGTTTGATTTCCATTTTTTGATGTATTTGTTGGTCATTAATTTCTTTATTTTTAATACTACTTCTTTTTCTTTTTTATTTTCATTTCATTTATTATTTCTTCTATTTTCGTTTCTGGGATTTTATGACCTAGGGCTTTTTTAATTCTATTCCATATTCCTTTCTTGGAATACCATCTATCTATTATGTTATTTCCTATTTCACTTTCTCTTGTACAATAGTACATTACTGTTCTGATTAATTCAATAACATATTCGTCCCTTAGGCTTATTAATCCTTCACCCATTTCATTTATAGGGACATATAGACGGTCTTTGGAGTTACCGGCACCAATGTATTTTGCCTTTCTTAAATATTTTCTTATCTCCAAATCCATTCTATCTAGGTCAGTTACCTTCCAATTTACTACTGATGCTGAATATCTGAAGATGGGTATTACTTCAGTATTAATTCTTGTAATATATCTTCTATTACTACTTTCATCAGTATTTATCTCTTCCATTTTCTTCATCATCTTTTCTTTGATGATTTTACAATTGAAGGTATCATTAATTTCATCGGACTGCCATACACCTAAATATTTATACAAGTCCTCTCCTTCAATTAATGGGATGTTTTGCATTCCATCTGGTATTTTATTAATGTTCTTTAATACCATTCCTGATTTATTTTCATTTCCATCCTTATTCCACTTATTATTT